ACCATCGCGTGGTCATTACGAGGCCACCCTGGGTGCGCTTGGACCCATCTTGTTGCCATCGGGCCATCTCGGCGTCACGCGTTGCTCATGTGTTGCGTCATCTGCGAGTCGGCCTGAGACGGTCCAGAATCCATGGCGGGATCGCGTTGGGGTGGCATCATCTTGGGTCCTCTGGACGTTATCGTCCGTGGCCTGAGGCATTCCTGGAAGCATGTTGTGGCCATGGGGCGTCTTGGGATCGCGTGCGTGCGAACGCTGAGCACGCGCGCGCGACTTTTCATCTTGCCGACGGGTTTACATACATGTTATTCCTCTTGCGAGTTTCCAAGGAAACTTTTGTTGGAGCCAAGTACTCCTCCTTCTGCCTCCTGCCTGCTCCTGCGCTGCTCCTTGGAAGTCTGAGAGCTGCGCAACTGTCGCGACTTTCGTGGGCTCCTGGGAGGTCCAGCGGAGTCGGGGGCCGCGCGCACCTATTGGAGACGTCGCTGCTCCCTCGGAGGCTGCGAATTGCGCAAATGTCACGGCTTTCGTTTGCTTCTGGGAGGTCCAGAGGAGTCGGGGGCCACGCGGGCGCATTTGAGGCCTCGCGGCCCCCTTGGTGGCTGCGAACTGGGCAACTGATACTACTTTCGTGGTCTCCTTGGAGGTCCAGTGGAGTCGGGGGCCACGCGAACGCATTTGAGATCTCGCGGCCCCCTGAATGGCTGCGACACGCGCAACTGTTACTTCTTTCGTGGGCTCCTTGGAGGTCCAGCGGAGTCGGGGGCCACGCGGACGCATTTGAGACCTCGCGGCCCCCTGGGTGGCTGCGAATTGCGCAAGTGTCAATTCTTTCATGGGCTCAGTGGAGGTCCAGCGGAGTCGGGGGCCACGCGGACGCATTTGAGACCTCGCGGCCCCCTGGGTTGCTGCGACCTGCGCAACTGTTACTACTTTCGTGGGCTCCTGAGAGGTCCAGCGGAGTCGGGCCCTGGGGGGTCCAGCGGAGTCGGGGGCCAAGCATAGGAAGCCGATACCTCGCGGCTCCCTGGGCGGCTGCGAACTGCCCAACCTCACCAAGTTCGCGGACTCCTGGGAGGCGCGAGTCCATGTGAGGGCGGTGCAGATCCATTTGCGACCTTGTGGCTCCCTCGTTGGCTGCTAACTGCACACCCGTCGCCACTCTCGTGCGCTCCTGGGAGGCGCGGCGAAGGTGAGGGCAGCTCAGATCCATTTGAGACCTCGCTGCTCCCTCGGTGGCTGCGAGCTGCGCAAATGTCATCACATTCGTGGGCTCCTGGGAGGCACGGCAGGGGTGAGGGCAGCGCAGATCCATGTGAGATCTCGCGGCTCCCTCGGAGACTGCGAACTTCGGAACTGTCGCCACTTTCGTTTGCTCCTAGACGGTACTGCGAAAATGAGGGCAGCGCAGATCGTGCATGTCTGGCAATGTGTTTTTTCGTATGGAGCGTTCATGCAGATACTCGCATCGCGTGGCGAAGGATTCGGGTACGTTTCGGGTAGTTTCAATCCGCGGCCCTGGGGTCCCGATCCCTTCCCTGGGTCCAGTTTTTCGCCCCAGATCCGTTTTTGATTGCCCCTGGGTTCGATGACACGGGCCTCGGGGGCCGAGATCGAGGAAAGACGCCGGGACGGAAAGAACCAGATCCTCCGAGATCTTGGACCAGGGGGTCGAGACCTCCAGGTGCGCCGCGAAATCGCGTCGTCTGGCGCCTGGGCTGGCCGGGGCCCCAGGCTCGGTGCGACCGTGTGCGCCCTTCGGGCTTGGCCGGGGGTGCACGCTCGCAGGTCCTTCGAGGGCCCGGCGGCTGTTCCCCGATGGGCGTGCATGGATCACTTGCCAGGTGTTTCGAGGCACGCCCACGAAAAAAGGGGATGTCCTTGATTCAGGCAGATCGATCTGGGCCTCTCAGATGGGGTGCGGGTCGTTGGGGTTGGAGGGTCGCGCCGCGTCGCCGATGCATCGGCGATGCGGCTCGATTTGGAGCCCGATGTTCTCCACGCCGACGGCGCCGATTTCATCGGCGATGCGGTTCGATCCTCCGACCCCATCCACTGGGGCCCCATTTGGGCGACGCAGCAAGATGTGTTGTCTTCACCGACGTTGGCGCGTACGCTATCCGCGTAAGTTCGCGCATGAGCACCGTCGTTTCCGATGTAGCGTGCCGCGGTGGCGGCCCGCGCAAGCTGCGGCGTAAGCTCGCTATGTCACTTCGCGTAAGATCCGTCTCTTTTCGTTGTGGATGTGGGAAGCCTCTAGAGATGTCCAGGCAAATCTGGAGGAGTATAGAGATTTCCTGGCAGGTCCAGAGGTCGCCCTCAGGAGCGTTTCTAATGAACAAGAGGAGGAGGATTCTTCAGCTCGCCCTTTGTGTTGCCTGTGAATGAATGAATGAGGCCTTGAGGAATTCGCAGAAGTTTCATCGCGAGCGGAGGGGCAGTAGAAGAGGTCGTCACAGGCCCTGCACGGGTCCTCCTCGCGGGTCCAGGATCGATTGGGCCAGCACTGGTGCGCAAGACAATGAAGGGAGGGGGGGATGATGAAGCAACGGGGGCGAGAGGGAGGGAAGGGGCGAAGGATCTTTCTCTCCTCCTCTTCCCCCTCCTCCTCCATGGACTTTTCTTCAAAATGATTTCTCCTTGTCTCGCCCGGAGGCTGGTCGAAAAGGCAGGCCGGGCGTTTCGCGTGAGATTTCCGCACCAGTTAGGTTCCCGAAGCTGAGAATTTACAACAGCCTCACCGATGGAGGGCGGGCCGCTTTCAAAATGTCGCTTTCACCTCAGCGAAGCGCATCTGTTTTTTGTTGAAGCCAAAAATAAAGAGTGGCAGGGATGGAGTGCGGGTCGTTTTCAACATGTGGTGCTCGCCGTAGCCCCGCGCACATTTTTTAGACTTGCAAGAGCTTCGCAGATAGAGGGCGGGCCGTTTTCATAATGTGGTTCTCGCCTTTTGCGCCACGCGTATCCGCTTTCAAACATTGCAGGAACTCCTCGGATGGAGGGCGGGTGGCTTTCAAAAGGTGGCTCTCGCCTCAGCGCCGCACGCATCCGATTTAGAACATTGGAAGAGCTTCACGGATGGAGGGCGTTTCCTTTTCAACATGTGTTTCTCGCCTCAGCGCCGCGCACATTCCGAGTTTATAGCAGCTCCAAGGATTCTCATGGCTAGGGTCCCAGAAAAGGGTTGTTTGGCACGAGCTCGGATCGCCAGGGCGGAGGACTGGCGCAGGAATGTGCTGGCGCGATGCAGGATCGTCACGACGCACTAGTAACAGTGATTCGCCGCGTTGAAGTCCCAGGATTTCGCGTTCTGGAAGTTCAGGATTTCCAAACTGTTGTTGACCAACGGGGCATTTCTTTCCTTAGATATGATTCTTTGTAGGGGCCTATAAAGAAGGAGTTTAGAGGGAGGGATCATTGCAATCTCATTGATGAGTCTTGACTTTGCACTGGTCCCGCTCCTCCTCCTCCCCCTCCCCCTCCTCCTCCTCCTCCTCCTCCTCCTCCTCCTCCTCCTCCTCCTCCTCCTCCTCCTCCTCCTCCTCCTCCTCCTATGCTTCCTCCTCCTCCTCGTCCTCCTCCTCCCTCCTCCCTCCTCCCTCCGCCTCCAAGCCCTCCTCCTCCTGGTGGATAGCTGGTGCCCTCCGCCAGGCGTGGCTCTCGTGCAACCAGCTGGTCCCCTTCCTGTTGCGGCGCCCGGCCGCGCACGGGAGCCCAGCCCCCGAGCGCATCGAGAAAGCACAGCACTGCTGGTCCGGGGCCCCGGGGCCTTCAGAAATCGGCTCGGGCTGAGGAGCCAGCCCTGGGGGACGGGTCGGGGCTCCGGGGCCCCGCGTTCTGAGCAGATCGATGCGCGGGATCTCTGGGAGGGGGCGTGGCGCGGGGCGGTCTCCAGGATGTCAGACGCCCTGCGCTCCTCCCAGGCCTCCCGGAGGGTCCTCGTGAGCTGGCGCCCTTCGGGAGCCTCCCAGGAGGCCCCCGTGGTGGCCGCACGGCTGGACGCGGCTCGGAGCACTGGTTAGGACGGATTCCAGGAGGAGTCCAGGGGCCCGTCTTGAGGGAATGCTCGTGGGGGCCCTGGGCGACGGGGGCAGCCTTCCGAGAAGGCGGGGGGGTGGCTCATTGGCAGGGCCAAGAGGCTCCTGAACAGGCTTCTCGGATCGGGGCGATCGCAGTGGGCACAGCAAGAAAGGGCACAAAGACCAGGACCATTGCCTGCCCACTGTGAGCACGACTCGCCGCCAGTGTCGCCGCGGACGTTGTTCACGCCGTCGGTGTTGGGCAGCATTTGATGCTGGGCACCTCCATCTTTCGTTCCGTACCCATCTCGGTCAATTCTGAAGCCTCTTTCGCACGATCGGGGAGGATTTGGGGGTACTCCCCCCAGCCGAGGAGCCCCCCCTGCCCTCTCCGCAGGGCCCCGCCCCGTGCCGGGCAGCTCGCTCGCGACGGTGCCCGGGCCCCTCCCGGGTCCGCCCTGGCCGGGTTCCCGAGCTGCGCTCGGGCGTGGCCGCGGCGGCCGTCCAGGATGCCCAGCGCGGGCGAGTAGCGTCGAGCGTCCTGGAGGTCGAGCCCCCTCCTTGCGCATGTGCTCGTTTGGGGTGCCTCTCTGGGGTCCACTGAATAGATCCGTTCGGCCCCAGCCTTACCCCAGCTCGACTCGAGCTCGGCACAAGCTCGACTCAAGTTGACGGACGTTCAATGGTTCCAGGAAGGCACCCAGGACGAGCATCTAATCCTCCTGCGCACCGCCAAGAGGTGCCTCGAGGGGCTACCCCCGGGCGCCAGCCAGATCGAGGGGGTGTTGCGGACCTTGGCGGAGCTGCTGCGGGGGCACCGCAAGGTTCGGGTACACGCTAACATGGATTCGGGATCCGTGGATCTGGCGCGTGGGTGCCAGATCCATGGCCAGGGGGTCGGAACCCCGATGTACTTTCAATGCCTTCCTACTTCATGCTTCTACCCGCGTCTTCCGACCGATGCGTAGGCCGGGAGCCTCTCTCTGTTTTGGCGCCCAGGTGTCCGTGGCCGCGTGGGACTTCGCGGCCCACCGGTCCGCGTGTGCGGCGGACTCGATGGCCGCGAGGAGACCCCTTGTCGTGCCAGCTCCTGGCCCGGAGGAGGCAGCAGAGCAGGAGGACGAGGCGGAGGAAGAGAGCGAGGACATGGAGAGCAGGACAATGCCGAGACGAGAGCGAGGTTAATGATGCCTTCTTTTTGGTTAAGAGTGAGTGTTTTTTTATGTTGTTTGTCTGTTCTGTGTTGTTCGTTGTCTGCTGTCTTTTATGTTTTTGTTTCTGGTCTGTCTTGAGCGGGGTGAGCGGTTTGGCGGGCTGAGGGGACGGGCGGAGGGCAAGCCGCACAGGCAGCAGCGGTTGCACGAGCAGCTGTAGCCGCAGCCAATTACTACCCCGCCCGCTGACTGGAACCCCGGGAAAAAAGCATACTGCAGTATGAAGACATGGGTTCGGTCGCGAAGTTTTGGTCAGCGTGTCGCTCCACCGTTGCTGGTTCAGCACGCCTAGGCGCGACACGCTGCAGCCCCCCAGGCGTCCGCGTCTCGAGCTTTTCCCAGCCTCGCGCCGCCGCGGAGCGGTGCAACTCGGCTGGACTGGCTGTTCGAAGTGTGACTCGGCAACCGGCTTGGGCTGTCTGCTTGCCGGCTGTTTGCGCGCGTCTGCAGCTCCATTGGTGAGGGGTGGGGGCCTCGGGAGCGCGCTTCCCTTTGTACCTTGCGAGGGTTCGAGGCCTCGGGAGCGCGCGCCCCTTGCTGCTTTGGGGATGCGTGGCCTCGAGCCCCGAGCCTCTCGGGAAACGACTGGGGCGAGGCGGGGGGGGAGGCGACAGCGCCCCACGAACACATATCCCAAGACAGCACCTGCTAGTTTTTCTGCTCTAGGGTCATGATGTCCCAATATACTTTCGTCTCGGTCACCATACAGAATTTCGAGCACCAGAAACAAGTACCGAAACTCGAGGGTTTTCACGTGTTGGGCCTTGAGAGACACTCGTCCGACACTGTTTCGGCACTCTTTCGACACTCTTTCGACGCTTTTCCGTGTGCTCGAAATTATTTCTGGGACGTGGTCCTCAAGTGCGATGGGAGCAACATAGCTCTAGGGATGGGGTGGCGCTTTTGGGCAGCCTCCGTGGTGCGGATTCGTGGCCTCGGGAGCGCGAAGGTCTGGTAAAGTACCAGGGTCTGTGACTTGGGGGCGCAAGCTTGTCGCAATCCCACCAGCCATCTTGACGGATGTGGTTGAGCGCGGTTTTCGTTATGTTTCCCCTTTCTTCCCGTTCGGGACAGGGCATTTCCCTCCCCCTACACCCTCCCCCTAGATCTAGACGGGGGGGCCGCGAGCGGTTAGTGCGTCCAACAAAGCATCAGCGAGAAGGCAAAGCACACTGTGTTTCCACACAGATTGGGCCAACTTTGGCCTCCCAAGACGTCCCCCAAGAGCAGGCAAGAGACTCCCACGACGCCCCAGGATGCCTCTCAGATGTCCTCAGAAGACGCACCCAACGACCCGAGCACACACATGGCCCCGATATTTCTACCAACGATGCCGCGCCGGGCGTGCAGGGCAGCTCCACTGGGCATCGTGTCTGCTGGTTGGGATGCTCGGCGGTGAGCCGGCTGGTAAGGTGAGGGGAAGCGGGCCTTCTCGGCCCCGCCGCCCTGATGAGAAGTTTTCGTAGCCGTTTCCGACGGCCGAGAAGATTGTTGCAGAAGGCCGGGGGGCTTCTGAGAAGCCCCGCGGACTCCTGAGAAGGTCTGGTCTGCTCCGTCTTACTTCCCGGGCGCGCCGCGGAGATACAGTGAGCGGCTTGAATAAGGAACACCTACTTTGCAAAAGGAGCTCGGTCGTTCCTTCGGTTTGCATGCGTTCTTCATCGTTCAGGTATCGTTTCTTATGTCTTATTCCTTGGGAAAAAAGGGGCTCCGTTCCTTATGAAATGTTCCTTAGGGCAGGCCGATGACTGTACGCGACACGTTAAGAATTTTGTAAGGCATGTGGGTCTCGGGAGCGCGAATCTCCCGCAATGTGCAAGGGGTTGTGGCTGGGCGTGCGCGCGTGGCGTAGTGGTCTCGTGGTTGTGGCTTCGGGCGCGCCAGACCCGTTAGGGGGCCACATGCGAATGCTACCCCTACCCCCACGATTTCTGAGGGGTAGGGTGGGGTCCACTTCGTTCGGGAGTTCCCGAGCGAAGTGAACCCCCCATCCTCTCCCTCAGAAATCGTGGGGGGTAGGGGTAGGGTTCGCATGTGGCCCCCTACCTGTTGAGAATTTGCCAGGGGCTGTGGCGTCCAAGAAGGATGTAGCCTCTGGAGCGCGTACTGTGGTTTGGGCAGCACGTCTCTGGCGTTCTGTTCTAGGGGGTGTGGTCTCGGGAGCGCCAGCGGGTAGTAGTCAGTGTACCAGGGGAAGCGCGAGAAGCTGTCAACCTTCATTATGGGATGTGGTGTTAGGGGCGCCAGGCTTGCACTACATTTCAGAGATGGTTGCTCTGGAGACGCAAAATTGAAATACTGTGCGAAGGGCTGTGGCCTCATGAACGCGACTCTGGAGTACTGTGCTCGGGCTTGTGGTCGGGGGAGCGTGAACTGGGTGTAATTTACTAGGGGCTGTGGCGTCGGGAGCGCCATTCAGTCATTTTTTACACAGGAAGAAGCTTCGGGCACGCGAATTTGAAATAGCGGTTGCGCCCTCGAGAGTACGAATCTGCGGTAATTGATAGGGAATTGTGGTTTGCGGAGGGCGGATCTGGCGTAGCGGACCAGGGATAGTGCAGCTTCGGGAGTTCGAGCGAGACGTAATCTGCGAGTTCTTGTAGCGTCGATAGTGCGAATGCTCAGTGGTTTGTTTGTCCCAGATCCCAGGGATTCTGATGACCCTAGTCTGGGAGGCGAGCCGGGCGATTTTCCCCCATCCCCGAAGCGGATGTCAATCATTACAGCACGAGAACGGATCTATCATCATCGTAATTTGGGAATATGGAATTGTTGCAGAGGGCAGGAGCATCTCCACCTCGCAGCCTACTGGTCCCCAAGGGGGTCGGCGGAGTTGTTGGATGGACGACGTTTGGGTGGAGGATGAGAAAGATGGAGAGGAGCAGGAGCAGGATGATGGTGATGAGGAGGAGGAGGATGATGTTGATGGTCACGATGATGCTGATGATGATGCTGATGATGATGATGTTGGAGATGATGATGATGCTGGTGACCATGCTGATTATGCTGATGACGGAGGCGCTGGGTCTGATGGTGATGATGATTATGATAGTACTGATACTGGCGATGGTGATGCTGATGATGGTGATGATGATGGTGATGATGACGATGCTGATGCTGCTGATGACGATGCTGAATGATGTTGTTAGTTGGTGGTGGTGACGACGATGCTGATGAGGTGGATGATGACAATGATGATGATGATGATGATGATGATGATGATGATGATGATGATGATGATGATGATGATGATGCTCATGCTGAGGAGGAAGAGGAACGAACTGATGCTGATAAGGATGATGATGCTGCTGATGCTGATGCTGATGTTGGTGATGATGACGATGAGGAGGAGGAGGAGAAGGAGGAAAAGGATCATGAGAAGGATCAGATGGCGGACGAGGAGAATGAGGATGAGGATGCTGACAATGATGAGGACGATGTTGATGCTGCTGATGATGATGATGCTGGTGGTGATGAATATGGTGTTGACCATGGTATGTTGATGGTGGTAATGCTAATGATGATTCCATGCTGATGATGGTGTTGATGATGATGCTGATGATACTGGTGGTGATGACGATGATATGCTGATGGTGGTGTTGATGATGACGCAAGGCTGATGATGATGTTGATGATGATGGTGATGCTGATGCTGATGCTGCTTCTGCTGCTGATGATGATGATGATGATGATGAGGAGGAGGAGGAGGAAGAGGCCGATACGGAGGATGATTCTAAAGGGGATTCACGTTTGGGGTAGTTGGGGGAAGTGGGGGAGACAGGGGATGCAGGAGCAGATTCAGGCAGTGCAGGAGGTGGAGGAGGAGGAGGGGGAGAAGGAGGAAACAACGGGGGTGGGAGGAGGCCGACGCTGCGGAGATGGCCGTTGAGGAGGAGAAGGCAAAGGAGGAGGAGGAGGAGGAGGAGGAGGGGGCGGAGGAGGAGCACGTAGGCAGAGCCTTCACCGTGCCTGGAGGGCTCACTCGTTCGATCTGCCCCAGCGAAGCTCTCGGCACCCTGCCGCGCGCCGCGGCTCCTACCCCCCTGGCCTACCCTGCTTGGTGACCGGCGGGTGTCTGGCAGGGGGCGGCGGGGCTCGGCACGCAAGCAAGGAGCGGAGTCAGTAGGATTGTGGTGGAGCGATGGTGCTCCTCCTCCTCCTCCTTCTCCTACTTGTCCTCACCCTCCTCCTCCTCCTCCTCCTCCTCCTACCCTCCTCCACCTTCCTCGTCTGAAAAGGGTTTATACTGGTATGCTCTAGAAGGGCCTGGTTGCTGCAGCAGATCGTATCCTCAACGGGAAGCACCCCCAAACTGAAGTTTCCTTGTGGATCTGGCCGAGCCTGCGTGATGACCCCTTGAGGTGATGCCGAGGCTCTCGTTCATCTTCAGAGCACTGGCGGCAGACTAGCTGGCGCCTCCCTGCCTTGTATCTTTGTGTCCTCCTCCTCCTCCCTCTGAGGGGTGGCGGGCGTGGCGGGGTGCGGCAGGCGAGCGGAGAAAGAAGTCAGTAGAAGTGTGTTGGGAGCGGTCGGTGGGGCTTCTCCTCCTGCGCGTGCTCGCGGGCGTGGCGGAGTGCGGCAGGCGAGCGGGGAGGAGTTGTGGTAGAGGTGTGGTCTCCTCTTTCTCCCTCCCCCCCGAGGGGAGCTGATGTTTTCGATCGAGCCCCTGCGCGTGCGCAGGCAAACAAGAGCGGCCCCCAGTGTTGCAGCCGCCGCTGTCGCCGCCCCAGAAAGTCCCCTAGCACCGGCTGGTGGTGCAATGACGGTGCTGCACGTCATGCAGACGAGCGGCTCCGACGTGCCGGTGCTCGTTGTGGCCACCCACGTTCTGAGCTTATACTCGAAGAAAAACAGCGGCTTCAACATAACTTTTCGGAGCTCCGCGCGGATTTCATTTGATCCGCGTTGGGCTCACCTGGCGGCGCCTTCGGCGCCGCCCCAAGCGCGCTCCGCACGTCGGGAAGGGGGGTG